CCCAGTAGAACTGCCAAAGAAACTCTACATAGGTCCCCCAAGTGCCAAAACAATTCAACTTCCTGATGGAAGGCATCTGGCTTATAAAGAACAAGGAGTCACAGCTGACAGGGCAAGATTTTCACTGATTGCTCCTCATTCTTTTCTTTCATCGAGGTTAGCAGGTAAGACCAAATGTTGCATTGTTTGGTTTAACGTATCATCACAGCATGACAACATCACATATTTGATCTACATGGTTTGTTCGTGTGCAGGAATCCCAGGAATCAAACCATCCCTCCTGGAGGAATTTGGGGCACGACTTGTGACCTATGATCTTCCTGGTTTTGGTGAAAGTGATCCTCACCCAGGCCGGGATCTGAATTCATCTGCACATGACATGCTTCACTTGGCTGGTGCCCTTAGGATTGTGGACAAGTTCTGGGTTGTGGGATATTCTGCAGGTAGCATTCATGCTTGGAGTGCTCTTCGCCACATTCCTGACCGAGTGGCAGGTAACCTGCCTCAGATACTTTCGCCGTCTTTATTTGATTTTCTCTATCTGTAGACTTGTCCTGTACATATTAGACGCTACTTGATTTTATAAATTGATGACGGCGCTGACTTCACACTATCACACTAGGCAGGCCATCTTTACATTACATGTGCTTATGACTTTAAACACTTAGAGCACTCCCAATGGTCCATGTCAACTAGTGTCCATTGCATTAGATAGCTTGCCATATAGGACCGAATATGATGTGGCAAGATAGTTAATGAAGTGAAACTATGTTTTGCATGAGACACTATACAAATGGCATTGGGGGTTGAAGTAGTGTTTATGGCACAAGACTAGAGACAAAACAAATAATAGGGATAGAAAGATAGAGAAATTTATTATTTGGTCCCATATAATTATGTAGAAACTATGGATTGGGCAAATAGTTTCTATTGTAGTTTATATGTGATGGCTAGAATTGGGAGCGCCCTTAGAAATACTTGTGACTTTTACCCTAATTCCAGACAAAGTATACATGCTAGTAGGCTTGTTACCTGCAGCACTTATGATGGTTAGGTATATTTCAGTACTTCAAGTGCAATCATCTTGCTGGCTTGATAAGAACAGAAATGTTCTATTGAATCAGATTAGCAACATCTATAGTTGTCCAGGGATTTTTTTTTTGTTTGTCAAGCATGAGTACATTTGGGTACAGTCAAACAACAACATAGCACCACCTTTTATTTGATCAGGACAAGTTCTATTTTCATCTCAATTTCATCTTATACTCTCAATCTTTATTTTCTCAGTTAAAAGTTAAAACCCTTTTTGGGTGTGTATTAGAACAACACAAATGATAGTCTGCTCTTTTGATTGAATGCTCATAATGAACTGTTATGAATCCAGGTGCAGCAATGTTCGCGCCTATGGCAAATCCATACGACTCTAAGATGACCAAGGAAGAAAGACGCAAAACATGGGAGAGGTGGTCAACCAAGCGGAAACTAATGCACATTTTAGCTCGGAGGTTTCCGGCCCTATTACCTCTCTTTTATCACCGAAGCTTCCTTTCTGGAAAGCAAGGGCAGCCTGAGAGTTGGCTGTCACTTTCACTGGGGAAGAAGGTACGCTGATATCAATGCTAATTGCACTCTTAAGGTGCCAATGCTAACTTACGGTACTACTTTGAAATGACATGGGCCTGCCCTATAAATATTTGCTGTACTATATATCTCTGTCGTTATCCATTGGAGAGAGGGCATGTAGCATATGCATCATTTGTACCTCAGAAGATGGTACAGTAGAGTTGGTATAGGGTGGTGGTTAGGAAGATGGAGAACTTATGACCACCTGTTTCTAATGATTTTGTGCCTCACACTTTCCAATGATTTTGCTTACTCAATATCAGCTAATAAACTTATTTTGTTATTGTTATCATATAAACACAACTTCATAGGCTTCAGCTATTGTGTGAATTATCATTTATCTACTGTTAACAACTATTCCTATTTTACGCCTGTACAGCCAAGTGCTCTCAGATTCACCCCGAACATCTGTTATTTGGTTCTAGTACTACTGTAATTGCATCATCAATTCCACAAAGGACAGCAGCACCTTCAACAATTTTGTGATGCATGGTGCTATTAATTCATCTATGCATGGCTGCTTGATGCTAATTTTAGAACCTTTTTCCCTGGCACTTATCCCGTTGATGAAGCTTTGAAACATATGATGATTTACAAAAGCATTGACCCTTCATCATGCCAAATAATAATCTTATGTGCATTACTCAGGACAAAACTTCACTGGAAAGTCCTATGTTCAATGCATTTTGGGAAAAGGATGTTGCAGAGTCTGTGCGCCAAGGAGATGCACAGCCTTTTGTAGAGGAAGCTGTACTGCAAGTATCAGATTGGGGATTCAGCTTGTCAGACATTCAAATGCAGAAGAGAGAGGATCTGAGCTTTTTTGAATTGATCAAATCTCTATTCCGTCAGGCTGAACGGGAGTGGGTGGGATTTCTGGGCCCAATACACATATGGCAGGTTTGTAATATGTTCTAAAATGATTTATTGATTTGTAATTGATTTGGCATTTTGATGGCAGTTGTTCATAGAAGACAAAACAAACAGATTATAATTACTCAAGTCATAGTTTGGTATCATACAGAATTGAGTTTAGTGTGTTTAGGGTTGGTCTATGGACCATGTGATTCCATAAAACATGAGCATTTTGTCCATTATCATCATTAGTCGAGGTACATACACTGGTGCTCAATTCATGTGATGATTCCCCCATTTAAACAACTTTAATCTGGGCTTCCTACTTGCTTTAGTAATACGGAGTACCTGTTAGAAAACGAATTACAGTAGCTCAGGAGAGAGGCCACTTGTAATGGTTTGGGTTGCATCATTTAGGAATACTGAGGCATATCACTGAGAATCTAGATTTTGAGTTTTATACATGCTAAAAGTCAATCCTGAACAGGCACTATTAATTACACAAGTTACCACTATGTGGACTACAATTGTCCAGTATATTTCTTGCTTCACCATCCTTTCCCAAGATCATACTACCGATATCTTGCATTCATGTTACCAATATCTTCTTGAAGCAATAACGCACCAATTTGTCTTAACAGGGGATGGATGACCGGGTGGTGCCACCGTCAGTTACTGAATACGTCAGGCGGGTGGTTCCAGGAGCCACAGTGCACAAACTTCTCGATGAAGGCCACTTCTCGTACTTCTGTTTCTGCGACGAGTGCCACAGGCAGATCTTCTCCACCCTGTTTGGGATTCCTCAGGGCCCTATCAACCCTGTACCAGAACCCATTGAAGTTGCCTCCGAACTCACAGAAGAAACAACAGTACCTGACAAAGCTAAAGAAGAGGAGCAGGACATATCGGACTTGGCCTGATAGCATTCAGATTCAGGAAATCAGTATCAGAAGCAGTATAGACACGAGACGATACTACTTAACACAGACACCACAGAAAGATAGCTTTCGTCGGCTCTCACCGGCGGACATTGTTGACAGCGGGTGGACCGAGCTGGCTTCTTTTGCGCTAGTATTTGTATAGGCAAATTCTTGAAGAAGGATGCTACGGTGCGGTTGATGTGCCGGCTCATTTCAATGTACAAAAGGGCTATTTAAAAGTTCTGCACGTCACCTGCTGGGTGCGCTGCTGCTACTCTGGTAGAGCTCAGTGATAGCTATATAACATTTGATTAAACTTCTTACTACGTTGCATGTTGTTTTTAGATACTCCTATGTTCTTCACGCTGCTATGATGATGGGTCACAGCACTCATCTGTGCAGGGACAGCCAGTGTTCTTGGTCGCTAACTAACATAAGAATATGGTGCGGTTAATCATTATTGATTTGTGTTACAGTTTGTTAGATTACATTGCATCATGCGTTTCTGTTCCTATAGCAATATGGCAAGCTATCAGTTTGGCTGTTCCTGTTCGTCTGACATGTCGTTCACTCTTTCTGGCTAATTTGGCCATATTTACGGATGAAAAATTGTTAATTACGTTGTCTGCTGTACATTAGTTATCATGGTTAATTTGATCCTGCACTCCTCACCTCTCCGGCTGTTGACCGCTCTCTACGACCCCTCAGTTTGTTACTGAGGAGTTCTTTATTGGTCAAGTTCGGTGGCTCGAAAAATAATCCATTTCGAAGCATTTTTGTCAAACATTGTCTGAGGAATTCTTTTACTGTCCCTATTTTGTCAAACTCATTTTTAAGTAATTTTTCAATAGATAATATGGCAGGAAGGGGAAGTACATGCCTTTTCGGATTAGAATATGGAGAAAACGATTAGAGGCATTCAATTTTATGTTAGATTCTATATCATGCTCTTGAACAGCATAGATGTAGTTCAGTTTAGCACAATGTGTATTACCTCCATTCCAAATTGATAATCATATTACATGGGTGTATTAAGACCAAGAAAATATAATAACTCTCTCATACTACATTTATTCTAGCAACAAACTCGATGCATACACATTCCCCACTATTTTTTAGCCAATAGCAAATCAAAACACTTTGTGCATGGGTGCATGCATCAATATTCATTTACTTCAATGCACAAATAACAAATAAACATAATGAATGAACACAAATATGATGATCATTTTGGAATATTCTCAAAAAGATTTTATGATGATTAATTTGGAATGGAGGGAGTACAACAGTAATGGTAGAGGGAGCGATACACCGATACAGCTGCTTCTATTGCTACTTTTCTTGGTGGTTCGACTCAGGCGGGCCCACCATGATTCATAGGTATTCAAATGAATATCCAAGATTTTTGAAGAAAAAAATACATATATAAAGTATATACTTATATAGAAAAAAATAGAAAAATAAAAAAATGTCTACCATTCAAAAGAAGCCCAAACTATAAGGCTTACCATCCTCCTCTCCTCACTATTTGAGGCCCATTGGCCCAATAACAAAAAAAAAAAGCTCAAAAACTTCCTAAACCCTCATCTCGTTCCCTATCCAGCGTTCCAGCCGCCAGGCCGAGGCCACCAGGGAGGAGACCGACGCGCCGCGCCGCGCCGGCGACTTCGCCCTGCGCCCGCGCACGCCCGCCCGTCGCCCCGTCGCCCGTCGCCCGTCGCCGCGTCGCGCTTTGCCACCGTCCCCTGTCCCAGTCGCGCGGTCGCCGCTTCGCTGCTTCGGCCCCTCCACGCGCCAGCGCCGGCGGCCCGCTCTAGGTGTCTCGGCGCCTCCAGTCCATGCGCCAGCGCCAGCGCCAGCGGCGCCGTTCCGGAGCTCCAGACGAAGCCCGAGGGACGAAGGTAACTCTTCCCCTCATTCCCTGCCCTGCCCGTAGATGGTTTATGTTTAGGATTTAGGAATGAATTAGGAAACTAGGATTTAATTCATAGTTGATTTAGGATTTGGTTTATTTCAATCCAGGAATGGTTCTTACTTCATGATTGAACATTTTTTTTAAGGATTTGTGAAGCTTGGTAGGCTTGTATCAGAGTTGGTACTTTATCAGTGCACATATTTAGCAGAGTTAGCATGGTTATTGGTTAGTACTTAAATTAGAAGACCATAATATTGTTTTGTTTTGTTGCTGTTGCTGGGCACACTAGCCGTCTAGCCGCAAGAATGAGTGGGGCAGGTTCATCTGCTGGCTCCTGATGCTTAGCCAACATACTCTTTGGCACAACTTCTGCTATTCAGTACAATAATGGCTCAACTTGAAGCTACAATAATGGCTTTTGTCCATCATATTCTGTTGCAAAATCTTGCTGTGTGGCAGCATTTCGGTTTTTCTGTTGATTATAATGCTGCTGCATAAATCAGGATAGTTCATATACGTTTGGACATGCATTTATCTTTTCATTTGATATGTTATTGTGTTCCTCCTAGGCCATGAGGGGCTATTTGAATGTTTTGAATATTTGATGTTTATTTGTATACATACAGTCAAATAGTTTTGCACTTTTAAAATAGAATATTACCATGCAAGAACTTTTATGCTTCTCTCTTACATTGCCTATAACTGACAGTGTTCAGTTTGAAGATGCTCCATTTCTTTTAACTTTCTTTTAACATTTTTCAGTAAATTTCTGCCATGGAAACAACTCAGAAAGCTGATCCAGTGGAACCAGCAGCTAAGATTGTTCGACAAACCTCACAGTTCAAACGGTGGGGACGGAAACATCCATTTGTTCGATATGGGCTGCCACTTATCTCTTTGACAGTGTTTGGTGCAGTAGGACTCGCTCATCTTATACAGGGCAGGTAAACCATTTTTACCTTTCTAGACTTGGCTAAACCAATTGTCTTAATAAATATATGTGATTTTATTTAGCCATCGTGTTTCACAATTTTAAGTGCTGCTTCATTTGCATTTTGCAGCAAAGAAGTAACAAAGGAAAAGGAGGACATGGAATGGGAGGTTGTAGAAACAACAAAAGCCCTGAGCCGAACAGGACCGGTGGAAGGAGCCTACAAGCCTAAGAAGCTTTCACTAGAGGATGAGCTGAAGGTGATTATTGTGTTGATATGTGAAAAGTGGCCGATTTGATGTGTGGTGTGCCATCTTATAGTGATTGATCTAATTCATGAACTGCATCCCTGTATTTAGGCTTTGCAGCAAAAGGTGGACATAAACAACTATGACTACAAGAGGATTCCCAGACCCAATGAGAAATAATTGAAGTAAAGCATCATTTACCACCCTGAGAAGCAAAGTAAAAGTCTCATCATTTTTTCCTTCGTGACATCTGTTTAATGCTGACTGCCCAAATGAGATGAGGAAATTCCAGCATTGTAGCCGGCAACAACCTCCAGTATTATCATGAGAACTCTATGTTCTTTCTGCCACCATTGTAGAGAATTAAGGTGATGATTCTTGAACTGTACGAATCAGCGTTTGTAACGACGGCACTAGGCATGATAAACTTGGCTGTAGCTTTGTATGTCTACTCTTGTGAGATTTTTTTGGTGTTGGAATACTGCCCCAGGAATGGGTGAATAAATTGCAAGACTACTCTTGACATGTGAACTACAGCTCTGTTGTATGTTATTCTTCTTCAAAGAGAATTTGAATCCCCACTTCATGTATATATATACTCAGCTATTGTTCTAGAAATATCTTCGACAACAGCGGGGAAGTTCATATATTTGGTAGTTATTGGTACATCATTCCAAATATTGTTAAATTTAAAGTTCATCCATCCAATTTGGATCCAGAGTCAAGATGGCATTCCCAGTTTAGTCATGTACACCGTAGCCGTAGGATGGCCAATGGACGTTCCAGATCGCCCAGATTCCCATGAGATCTTCAAAACACAAAAGGTTTGGACCAAAATGCAATTGTACCCTTTTCTGCCTCTCATTCACTCCCTGTCCCGGACGCGATGACTGCCGCCGCCGCCGCCGGAGAAATTCCGGCGGAAGATGCCCCGCCGCCAGGGGCGCTCTACTCGTTCGGGACGCCATGGCCGGAGTTCAACGAAGGGATCTCCTACATCGACACGTTCCGATGCGCCGGTTCGCTTCTCCTGCTCCCCCGCCTTCTTCAGCGTTTCTCTGCCTCCGCCCTCTTCCTTCGCTTCTTCTGATTTCTTTCATGTACAAGTAGATGCAGGCGCCACCACGACTTTGATCGAGTTCTACTCCACCAGCTACAAGAGCTCCGCGCCATTGCCAGGGTAACGAGCACGCTTTTCCCCAAATCTCCGTGATCAGATGGTGGCCAGTTGGCCACTGCGGCTAGCCGTTTCATTTCCCTTCAGTGAATCTGATTTCACTTGGGATATAGTGCTGATTTGATGTTGTATTGTTGCGCTTTGCAGGTGGATTAAGAGGATTCGTGATGGACAGGTAGGTCATCTAGTAAAATAGCCAGTACTAGTTTGCTCATGTGTTCTCTTTTTTGTATTATGTTCTAAATAATTTGGCTGAGTTAGCATTACTAACAAGCAGAAGTTTTTCATTTCTATCTTTGTCTTTCTATATACATAATTCCTTTAGTTTTACAGTGAACATGCATCTATTTGCTATGGCTCACCAACTTTTATGGTCCTCTTAAAGCTATTGTGTGTTTTTATACACATGCTTATATGAGCATTCATTTAATTAACATGTATAGGCAAATGAGAAAGTTTTGGACTATTAGGCTAGATATTTTCCCAACTACGACCAGAGGCTGAAGCTTTGCTTTTTTGTTTGCAGATAACAGTAGATGGTGAAGTTGCCACTGATCCAGATATGATTCTCAGGTAGCTCTATCCACTGATTGTACTGTCATAGTTATCTTGCTTAATTTTTTGGGCAACACATTGTTTCCTTCATAAATGAAGACCATGATGCTATGATGCTCTATTTTACAGGGAGGGTTCTAAGTTGGTATATCATCGCTTACCATGGCAGGAGCCCTTCGCACCACATTTACTTGATGTGCTTTATGAGGATGATGACATGGTATGTAAAATGAAAATAATATCCTTGCTAAGTATGTGTGGCAAACTTTTAGGACATTTCTTTCCATCTTTCGGCGTTTTAACAATCCTAGCTGATTCGCAAGTTTGAAATTTAAAATACTGTATGGTTTTGGCATACAAAACAAGAATAAGGTTACTTGTCTATGGTTTGTAAAATGAAAATGTTAGACCTCAGAGTTTTAATACCTTGGTCTACTTGTGAAGAGCCAACATCACCAATCATGCATAAAAGTAATCTTTACTCATGCCTAATTTTTTCAGATAGCCCTTAATAAGCCTTCTGGCTTGCAAGTTCTTCCTAAAGGACTTTTCCAACAGCGTACTGTTTTAGCGCAACTTCAATTGAAAGACTGGAAGATGCCTTCATCATTCTGCTCAAAGCGAAAAGATGCGCAATCACACCCTGTACCTGTTCATAGACTCGGAAGGGGCACATCAGGTTTGTTCCTCTGTTTTTGTTCTGTTCATGCTCAGAAACCTTGGAGCATTGACACCCAGTTGAGTTCCAGTGGATGTAAATTTTTGTTCACCGACCATCAATCAGTCAAACTAGTGGTCTAGTCTAAAATTTATAAATTGTTCCTGGGCATTAAAGCCAATTCGCTTCGACACCAAACTAGTTTCTCAGAAGAGACTGAACCATATGATATAAACATAAAGTGCTGCTCATAGGACTTGTTCCTCTAATATTATAAACAACACTTCTGCAGTGAAATGTGAATTGCAGAAAGATGTTTGTTCACTACTGAGAATCAGCACAACTGCACAAGCTCGTATGATTTCCTTTTTTTTCTTCGTTTCGTTCTAGCTTTGGGTAAAATCCATAATCCCCACTCCCTCGTTTGCATATCTTTCCAGTTTGATGTTTCAGGCTCAAATCATGTAGTTTAAGCACTGCAGTCACTGAAATAATTGAAAAAAGTATTCGTATCAATGAAACATGCACTGAATAACAACATAATTAAGAAATAGCATGAACATGTGTCATGAGGTGGAAACTGCATACTTAACCTGTAGCAAATTTTGCTTAAATAGAAAATGAGATAAGTGAGACAAAATGAAACAGCAGGTGACTTATCAGGAGTTTATGGATTTTTCACTTTACCTTTTGATGACTTTCTATCTCACAATCTATGTGTTGTATCCTAGGTTTACTGCTTTGTGCAAAAACAAAGCTTGCCAAAGCTCAGCTTGCAGCTTATTTTGCTGAAGGCGCTACAAACGCTGGAAAGAGCAGGTATAAAACTACTCTTTTTCATAATTCGAAAAAAAATTCTTGCTATTTTTTCATCTTGTTTAAGATATTTATAGGGATGAAACAGATATTTGCAAAGCGCGGAAAATTTCAAAGTTCTATCGAGCACTAGTAACTGGTATCCTTGAAAATGATGAGGTATTGACCTTCCCCCCTCATTTTTGTTATGGGAAATTTATTGTTTGCTATTACTTAGAGGGCATTTCAGCATTTTTTTTTCACCCCTTGTCTATAACACATGGTGCCCTAGGGCCACATAGTCAGTATGCCACTCTAGAGGAGTTGGAAAACGATCAAATTTCCCTAACCACATAATTCCAAATTTCCAATACGTTGAATTCTGTTCTATTCAATATCAAGCTATATTCGCATTTCTTTTGTTTGTGACCATTTGTCCTTCCAGATCAGTCATGTGTAATATTGTTGTTTATATAAGGCATAATTTGTTTCCAATGCCTTGTAGGTTATGATTACCCAACCTATAGGATTAGTTCGTTATCCTGGTGTCGCGGAGGGGCTTTATGCAGCATGTTCCTCAGGTTATTGCACTACCACATTACTGGTCTAACATTGAATTGGCGAAAAGGCCAATAAGGAGTAAAGGATGAGTTTAGTACTTCTGATGATGCAGTTCATACTGAGGAAAGCATAATCATTATTTCATATGCATTATTTTTTGGACTGTTTTTTTTTTCAGGGAAACCAGCAATGAGCAAAGTGCGTGTTCTTGAGAGACTTAAAATCCATAATCATACATTGATCCAGGTAATATATTACTTTCTTTTTTGAAACATATGTAGCACTATCCATGTTGGTCGATTGCATATGCCATGACAAAATATTGCATTTTTCTGTGTCATCATCTGATATTTGTTTCGTTGATTGATGTAGGTTGAAATTCATTCAGGACGCCCACACCAAATTAGGATACACCTTGCATACATTGGGCATCCTCTTGTAGGTAACTCTCTTGCTCGAGTAATTTTACGGTCCTTGAGGAGGTACCTCATAGAATTGCTCCTCTTGCTCACTGAGTTGCTGTTGGAAAGTCCGCCATGTTGTCAGAAAGGCACTTGTTGGATTACTGCGTCCTCAAAATAGTACTTGCAGCATTGACCTATCATCATCATCATCATCATTATGATAGACACAGATTCATTTAAATAAGAGTAAATTGCATTAGCGGTACATAAACTTGTCAGGTGCGTGCAATTTAGTGTATGAACTTATAAAATGCTTGTTTTGGTGCATGAACTTAACTTGGTACGTGCAAACTAAGACTAAAATGGCGCGACAAGACCGATTTTTCTATGTTGAACATTATAAATTACAAATTAGTAGATGACTTGCATGTACATAAAGGTTATATTTGTAAACTTAGATTCCACTTTATCTTTCTTTGTTTCTGTCCCTTGCATCATTACTCAGATTTTTATTTTTTTATGCAATCATTATGCCTTATTATATGTTTATCCTTCTTAGACTAATGTTTACATAAAGTTTAAATCAACAACAAAATCAGCAAGATTAACCTTGCAGTGCGATTTTGACCTTGTTCGCATGCACCAAACAAGTTCGTGCACCAAAACGAGCGTTTTACAAGTTCATGTACTAGATTGCACCTACCTGACAAGTTTGTGTACCACCGATGCAATTTACTCTTTAAATAAACATATATTTTGGATAGGTGTGAAGGGTTTCTCATGCGATCTTTTCTTTTCTTGAATCCACGAACAGATGACCCTCTATATGGCATTGGTGGTCAGCCAAAATTTGATGAACCAGAACCTACTAGTACAGCTGATTCTTTTGCATATGATGGGTAATTCCTTCATCCTTCATTTTTGCTTAAGGCAGTACGTCTGATGCCTTTGTTTAAGATTTGCATATGAATTCATATCTTTGCATTTAGTTTAACTCACTTTCTTGCTCTTGTTAGAGGTTATGAGAGACCTTTGCAACCTGTCCCTGGAGATTGTGGGTACCACCTACATGCACATTGGCTAGTTCTTTGTCATCCAACTACAAATGAGGTACTGTAAAATGAATCATATTGAATTTGGGTGCTATTCTCTACCTGACTCGTACAATAGCTTTCAATCCCAGGAACTGGGGTTAAATTCATATATCGAAGGTGGGGAAATTACATATTCCGTTGTTTATTGGTGGAAAGACATAATTAGAATATGATAGTAGGGCCCAAATTTGTAGTAGAATAGTGAGCCTCATTAAGTTGCAAGCCTGCAAAATATATTTTCCAAAAAAAGGAAATACAGCTCGCTCCTTCTATTAAAACTTGGGCCTGAATAAAGCAGTTGGGAGGTGATATTCAATATGCTGGACACTGTACGCGCTAAGAATTGGCTATTGTACATCAATATATTCCCGAAGATAATGGTTAACGATAAGCATTCATGTAATTGAGGACTAGCACTTATAAAAGGACAACTCAAGATCCAGAAACCTAAAAGTGACCTTCAATGTTGCGTCCTGACTGGAATCATTGTAATCGCTCTATTCCTTGCTTAGCTTACACTCATCATAATTTTCTTAGCAGATGATCAAAATCACAGCTCCTCTGCCACATATCCTACAGACTAGAGAGGAACAGCAAGATACAGCTAAGCTACTCGGTGGTTGAACCCTTCAATTTTCATGGTCAGCTTGAGTTCACAGGCTCCAGTGAAGCAGGGCACCCTATACAACAAAAAAACCAAGTGAAAACTTCAGGTTCTGTACTGGGCAATGGCCATCTATTGCTGCAAAACCCATGGAGATGGACGCCGATTGATACTCCTGTCCACCTGTGGGTGCGTGCTTTGCGACTAGCTAACCACTGAACGCTCCCAAGGGCTAGTTTTTTAATATAATATTTTGATATTTTCTATTGTATGGTCAAAATCAAGAATTGATCTCAGTAAGTACTCTTTTCGTTCTAAAATATAAGCACATAGGATTAGATGTGACATTTCCTAGTACTACGAATCTGGACGGACTATTTGTTCAGATTCGTAGTACTGGGAAATATCCCATGCGGTCCTAGTTTTATATATTTGGGGTTAGAGGGAGTAATATTTTGGCTATAAAAAAGCATTGCACATTGTTGGCAACCCATCTCCAAGAATATAGAATTTACTACCTCCGTTATAAAATACTACTAGGATGAGATTTGCCTTTATTCAGATTCATTGTCTAGGATAAGATTGACAATATTTTAGGACGGATAAAGTATCCAACCAAGTTTTTTTTTTCGAAGTAGTAAAATAGGCTGGCTGGCATTTTCAGTACTAAACAGAATATATTTTAGCCCCTGCAGCCAAAATAAATTACTACCTCCATCCCAAAATATAGCAATTTTTAGCTATAAATCGGAGGGAGTACTCAAAAGAATGAATCATACTCCACTCATAAGATCTGTGAGGATGACTGGTTGACAGTTGTATAGCCCCTTAAATCCTTATTATGGCGAACTTTATTATTGTAATGAACAGTTACTAGTACTAATCTCCTCTTCCCTCTTCCCTCTTCCCCTGCAAGTCTCCAACCCTTTGCCTCCCCAAAACCTCTCGCGAGAGCAACACCAAACGAAGGGGAAAGGAAGGAAGGAGATCTCCTATCTCTCCTGGGTGGTGGGTCCCCGTAGGCAGCCACCAATGGAGGGCTCGCCAGCGACGCGCCTCCCGGAGGCCGACTCGCTCCCCGACGGCTTCGTGGAGAGCTCCGCCGCCGACCAGGCGCCCCCTCCTCCCGCCGACGCCGGCGATCCCGCGAGCCGCTCCCTCGGCCTCGATCAAGCCGACGCAACCGTGGGCGGCGGCGGCGGCGACGAAACCCTAGGGGCTCCTCCCTCGACCCTCGCCTCCGTCGCTCAGGACACCCTGGACGCCTATTCGGCCGCCGACGCGCTGCAGAGCCTCACCGTGGGCGGCTCCGCTGCGGAGCCGGAGCGTGCTCTCGGCGAACCCGCCGTCGACGCAGGAGGTGATCTCTCTCTTTCCCCCTCTCTATCGCACGCTGCGGTTCGGAGTAAAATGTCGCACCTGATTTTAGGAGATTTAGCTGTTCCTGTTGTTGCAGATGCTAAAGAGTCCTCGAAGGAGAGCAGTGTGGTGGAGCAGGTGGAATCTATGGCCGATCAGAAGGTTGTCATTGCTGAGGTTTATAGGATCTGGACCTGCCTCATTGTGCTGCATTGGTTTTTGATAGGAAGGATTAGTGCTTGCTAAACGGGATTGATCTGCTTGACTTTGTAGGGGAGTGGTGAGCAGAAGCGCAAGGTCGTGAAAAAGAGCAAGGTAGAGAAGGACAGAGAGCTGTTTGAACTTGCGCAGGCGTACCACAAGGTGGTAGCAGAGAGGGATGCAGGCAAGCTTCTATCATGTGAACTTATGGGCTGACCTGTTTCCAATAATTCAATGTAGTGCATAGATCCCTTGGTGATTCACTCAGATTTTTACTGTTAAAATAACACATCTGTAGGGTGGTTGGATAAATATCTTCTAGTGTTCAATTCATCTGAACCATTAGTTAGTTCTAACTAAAATTTCTTCATTAGACTCCTGTCTGACTGGAATGAACAATCCGTTATCATGAAATATCACATAATCTCGGCCATTTTGTCTGGTATCTTGTATGCACCAGTGTTTGGCGGCAACCTAGTGCCAAGCCCCTAAGCGCCACCGAGGCAGACAAGGTGGCTGCGAAGGGGAATACTGGTTTACGCATGCTCATGCCACATGATGCTTCTAGAATTATTCAGACTAACATGTATCTTGTATTCCTGTGTGGTTTGTGTTTGGTCTCTTGCAGCTATTGCAGTTAAAGAGAAACTAGAGTCTCTTTGTAGGGAGTTTCAGCGTCAAAATAAAATGCTAAAGGTATGGAACAAGTGTATCGAGTTTTGAAGTGTCTGTTTATTTTCACTTTTGTTCAACTATAATATCTTTTAGCGTTGATGACTCAGGAAGAGTGCCGAAGGGTGTCAACAGAGGGGCAGAATATGCGGATGGAGTTATCCGACAAATTCAATAATGCTATAAAGGTCATTATATGCCATATGATAGTGGTTCAGAAAATATAGACCAGTGTTCTTAATTTTGTTTGTATGCCAACTATTGAGCTCTTACTAATCAGATATCCATGATATTCTATAGGATGTGAGCGTCAAGCTTGACGAGCAGAAAAATGAATGCATTGCTCAGTTAGAAGAGAACAACTTGTAAGATACTGAAGTTATGCCTATGTTCTGTATTAAGAGTTTCTTCAAGTGGATTGAATTTGTTGCCAACATCATTGCACTTCTAATGACTACGTTCATTGCAGTCTTAATCTACTACAGGCTTATGTTTAATTTCCTTAGATTTTGTTTTCGATAATGATTGGTAGCTTATGTTTGTAGGCTGAGAAGTAAACTCAAAGACCTTGCAGATCAATATAATATCACACAGCAGAAATATGCTCATCAGGTATGATGTTTATGACCTATATCAGTTATTATAGCTCTATGGGTATCTTGGATGTTTTTATGACTATCTTAGGGTTTGTCTTAGCTCAATATGTTGTTCGTTGTGGTGAACTTTTGTTTTTATTTGCCTTATGTTATATTTCTACAGTTGAAAGAAAAGATGCTGGAACTTGAGCTCGCCGATCTGAAAATGCAACAACATCAAGAGAAAACAGCTCAGGAACAAACCCAGATGCAGCTATATGCTGATCAAGTTTCTCAACTTATGTCTACCGAGAAGAATTTAAGGTTGCAGCTAGCTGCTGATGGAGAAAGATTTCAGCAGTTTCAGGTACCTTTGCTGATTAGGCCCTTTTCGTAATGACGAGTATATGCCTCATGGTGGTTTTCCCTTTGCAGATGGCTATGCAAATATTCAAGCAGTTTCTCCGTTTTAATTGTGGATAGCTCTGCCTTGTACTAAAATTTTAAAATTGTCTACTTTACCTTATCAGGATGCCCTCACAAAAAGCAATGAAGTCTTTGAGACATACAAGAAGGAGATGGAAAAGGTACGAGTGATCATACTCATTTGAGTTCACGCACAATGTCATTCTGTTCTTAGTTATCAAATGTTTGTCCACAGAAATAAAAAAAATATTCCATGATCTTTTTGCATCAGATGGTGAAGCTTATAAAGGATCTAAAGAAGGATAATGAATTCATGAAGAGTAAATGTGAGAATTCAGATGTTGCTCTAGTGAAGTTGATTGAGGAGGTAAATGTCTAACCTTCCATGTACCTTCACATGCATAATGGAAGCTCTTGTGCAGGTCTTTCTTTCTTGCATGATGATTAATTGAACCCTTGTTTGCTTTCTCCGCAGCGTGAGTTAATGAAGAAGCAAGTTGATAAGTTCAAGAATCAAAAAGAGAAGCTGGAATCTCTATGTCGATCATTACAGGCAGAAAGGAAACAAAGCCCGTCCGGTGGTACTCCTGATGCCACTTCTAACGAAACAAATCTGGCAACTATAGAATCATAGTCCTACCGTGCTTCACGGTGTTCTTTGTGGATTGCCAGGATTTGAAGACAGGGAAATGGATATGTATGATGTTTATCATTTTATATTTTCCTTGCGATTTTGTAAGTCCTGAATGAGAGTATCACACATCCGGCTACGCGGCTTACATGCCTCGCCATTTGAGCCATCTGAGAGATTTTCTAAGGCCTCGCATGGAATGGGAAGCAATTCAATTTTAGCATATTGGGGGGAAATTGTGTTTTGAATGTTAATTTGTTTTATGACACCGAAATCTGATAATTGTGCATCTGGCATCCCATTCGACGTCCTAAGCACATACCGCCACTGCTTATTTCGGTTTTCTGAAACCTGCTAGAAAGAAGGGAAAACAAAACACTTGAGATGTTATCGTCGGAAGGTAACCCAAAATAAAAGGTGTGCCGCCAGTAATCTTCACTTCTCAACAACTTGTGATAATATACTTCAGTTGTAAATAAGCAGAAGAAACACTGAATGACAGGTGGATTCAGTTATGTTCACTATGGTCGTTTTTCTACACATGTAAATAAATATCAGTTTGTCACCAAACTGTCAACAAAAAATGAGAGAAAGAAGAAAACAAAAATTGCGTATGGCCAACAAGAACACGGGCCAAAATTCCAATGGACATTTCTTCTAACAAAGATGCAGCTATAAGTGACAGGTATCTTGCCACACAATTATCCCCTGAACTACAGCAAGCGTGTCCGAAAAGAACCTGCATTGACAAGAGTGGAACATATGAGCAACAACTAGAGATTTGAGAGATAAATGAGAGATAAGCAGGACAATCATAACTCCCAAAATCTTGTATGGTTTCATTTCGATATGCCAACAATCATAACTCCCAAAATTTTGTATGGTTTCATTTTGATATGCCTACAATAGATGGAGCATAGCTATTGCATCCATAGCTAAATTGGATTCAACAAGCAGTAAATATCCAGACTTCCAAGACTAAGTAAAAGATTGATGGAGTACGTTTTGCAATCTTTTGGATCAAATGCAATTTCAATGAGTGGAAAAAAAGAAAAAAATAACTCTTTGATAAATGATAAATTGTTATGACTTACTTGCTCAATCAGTAGCAACTTTCCTCCTGGCAGCCCTTGCGTTATCATATTCAAACTTGAGCACATCTGGAATGTGTGAAGTATCCTTCATATACAACCACCTCGCTATTGCACTCTCCTCAATCATTGGAAAATATTCAACAAGCATGGTGTTGACAATCCAATACCAGATTGCACCAAACACAAGGCCTACTACCGCGCCGGCAAATACCTAGTAAATTTAACAAATTGAAATTAAAAGAAATCGAACAGCAATACAACATGCTCTTTTTATTTCAAACACTGTCAGAGAAATAAGCAGCATTGCCAGAGGAGCATAATTCAGCTAAGTATACTGTGCAGAACAGCTGAACAGGAGGACCCAATTTTAAGGGGTGTACACAACATGCAACCGCACTATATGAAAATTTCATACAGAAACGATTGATAACACCAAGGAGTATTACTAAAAGTGGGCGATAAATTACAACACAGATCATGAGGTAAATATGTGTACCTAAGCATCCAGAAAACCAGGGGAGCAGTATGTGATGTTGAGTCATGAACAATAGGTTTGAATGCATTATTCTTCAAATATCATATCCTTTGAAATGGAAACACCACCAAGACTTCCTAACTTTTCTATGGCTTTGTGAATAGATGGTTTGGTTTCTGGAAGTGCTTTTTGTTAAGATTTTAAGTAAGCTTACAGTTATGGAAACCAGCAATTGCATAGCTGCGTGGAAGGCATACGGAAAATGTTTATATGAACCTTGTGCTGAACACGTTCATTTTAGGTTCCTATTAGCAATCTACAAGACTTTGAAGCTATAATTTGACAATGCAACCAACCAATGTACTTCTCCATATGAAAAAACTGTGCAAAGCTTTCACCAACAACTCAGAAGAGCAAACATGTTGCAGCAGCCAGCGCATAGTAATATAGCATACCTCTAGCTACCTAATGTGAAGTCACGCTAAAAGCCAATTATTTGCAGCGTTCCTGAGCAAGTAACATAAATATGCTGCTCCTGATCTTAATTCTCCCAACCAATAATTGCACTATCAGCTCCTTTTAGCATTAAAGAAAACACGTGAATGATCGCTAACGTATGTAGAAGTACATAGACTAGTGACCAGAACAGTAATATCGATTATGTATGTCAGGATTTCATTATACCATAATGCAACTATCTTCAAACCATTATTATACCATAAAATGCACCTATCTAACCAAAAATGAGGTAGATACGTCCAGAGTAAATTTACACCTAATGAATCAGCCTTCCTGGGAGGGCAAGTTAGGGATCAAGCTAAGGCACCATTCTTAGATTATTATTTTATCATTATGAACCAATCTCAATCTATGACATATACACTAATTACGAATGCATCAATCTATCAATTTATAAAACAGACCAACATTTCCATGGCCATCCACCAGATCGGATCCGGGATTCAGGGGGGTCTCTCACCTGCGCGACGGTGTGGTAGCCGAGGTACACCCTGGACAGCATGGTGAGGAAGGCGAGCGGCCAGGCCAGGGAGGCGACCACCCGGCTCGACGGGGAGCGGCGGAGCGTGAGGAGCGAGAGGTAGGTGGCGAAGAAGAAGGTGTACTGCGAGTGGCTGGAGGGCCAGCCGTGGGAGTCGCAGGCCTCGAGCAGCTCGCAGTAGACCGGGCGCGACTGCGCGACGGAGTGCTTGATGAGCTCGTTGAGGAGCTGGGAGGCGAGGAGGCCCGCGGCGAAGCAGATGCCCTGGAGCTCCCGGCGGAAGAGGAAGTGGGAGACGAACCCGCCCAGGCTGATGAAGACCGGGACGAGGGAGACCCAGGCGAGGAAGAGGCCGAGCGTGTCCCCGCGGCGGTACCGGACGTGGGTCAGCGTGATCGCCTTCAGCGACGGCGGCACCTCCGCCGCCATCTCCTGGAACTCCGCCATGGCTTCCCCCTCCCTCCCCCCCGCGGATGGGGATCTGCGCCTTGCGCGTGCGATGCGAGGTGGTGGTGGGGATTGGGATTGGGAGCGGGATTGTGGGATTTGGGGAGGCCTCTCCTCTGGCGGAGCCTAGAAGAGCGGGGACGCGTGGGGTACGCGGACTGGGGGCAAAGTGAGGGAAGATGGCCGAGAAATACCGGTGGTGAGTCGGATGGTTCAGGTTGCTTTGAGAAAATAGGCGAATGAATCAGTCTTGGTGACGTGTCCTTGCATTTTTGGCAATCGGCAAAACCGTAGAAAATCGTAACACTACCTTTTCTTATAAAAAGTTTAATCTCCTATTTTATCCAATAGCTTAGCAGATATATACGCACGTATACAACTACACATAGAGCATGATTGGTTCTGATTGTTACGGCGTTTTAGATGGTAACGGTAAAGCCAAGTTAGTCGGTCATAGGCTGTAGCCTAAAACCACACAACCGTCAAAATAAACAAGTTCTCTATCTGCTTATTGGGGCTAGCTATAGCCGTTGTAAGTGTTGTAGCCTCAAATGTGATCATGTTCTTTTAACACATGGTCAAAGAATAAAGATCAATAATAAATGGGTAAATTATTCCATTGTTCTAAAGTTGAGGTGTTGTTGGTCTTGGAAAATTATTTCGTATCTGAGTTGATAGTGTTCTTTTGCTCCAATACATATGAAGTAATAGTACCCATTGTCCTCTTCTTTATTGGTGGCCAACCCGGGCACTTACCCAATGTTATCACATTCTTCATGCTCCCGATGATGTTGTCCGTATGTGCGCTCGATGTCCTATGACGACCATCTCACATTCAACTCCCTCGCCAAGCTCCATTGATGATTTCCTCATGTTCGTTCCCTCGTAGCACTATCTGTCCTGAGCTCCACCACTACCACTAGCTTTTTCTTGAGCTTAGTTGTATGGTCTATCTTGTGCACAACGGGCGCTAGAGTTTGAGTTTGTGAGGTGGGCGATAGAGCTCATGCACATGAGCCATGAGGCAAAGCGGCGCAGCTCAAGTGCATGGTCATAATGGAGCTCGATGCGTGAGGGACTACGACGATTGAAGGCGATGTATGTTAGTGCCCAGAGTTGAAGGAGGTAGTTGGACTGTCAAATCAATTTGATGATGATGACCGGAGGAAAAGAACGAAAAGAATATAAATGGTATTTATAGCAGTATTGGACTAAAGATGGTGTACTTTATCCGATATAAGATGTAACTTATTTTATTTAATTTTCTGCTTAAATGTTTTCGTATATGGAGTGACAGGGATTTCTCTTGACAATGCTAAATCCATAAAAGGTCAGAAATTGATTTACCTCTCCGAGCATAATGGAATATGGATTGCTGCAACAAACTTTTCGAAAATATCCTTTGTCGCTTGCAAATTCGCAATTACCGGTACTAATAAGGTTCGCTTTGAAATTTAAGAATGAAAAAACGGAGAAATATGAAAAATACATAATTTTGATAGGAATGTAAGTGTAACATTTACAAAACACATAAATGATTGCTTGATTGGACGAAAAAAACACGGGAATTTTAGGAGAAATAAAGTCTCAAAGAAAACTTTTCATGAGGTTCTACCTCACCTTAAATTTCCTCCAAAACTTTTATGGAATGAGGTATTTCATAGGAATTTCATAGAATTCATTCATTTGATTCAAATGGTTATATAGAAAAAAATTATATAAAAATAAAATCCTCTAAAACTGAAATGATTTTCATTTGATTCAAATGGGCCTAAGAATTCAAAAAACCTGAAGCGCAAAGTACCGGTTGGCTCCTACTCTGGTTTCTGGCTTCTGGGACGGCCTCGAGTCCGCCGCTGTCTGTCTCCACCTTTGCCCCCCATCCTAAAATTTCGAACGCAGCCATGGCCGCATAGCCCTTCGCCCCAAGTTCAAACACCTCGCTCTCTCTCTCTCTCTCTCTGCCCGTACACTCGGCGCATCGCCTCCTCAGGCGGCAACAGCGGCGGCGGCGGCGATGGAGTTCCAGCAGGGCGGCGGGGGCGGTTGCGGTGGCGGCAAGGCGCGGGACAAGTTCTCGGTCTACCGGAACCCGTCCCTCGCCCGCGCGCTCGCCTCCCGCAGCGTCCGCCCCTCCCTCCCGGTCCTCGTCCTCCTGGCGCTGTCCCCCATCGCCTCCGCCTCCTCCATCCTCGTCCTCTCCTCCTGGTACGCGTCGACCCGCATCGCCGCCGCTTCTCCATCTTCTAAACCCTAAACCCCCAGATCGCAGCAGATGCGTTGGGTACTCATTTTGTTTGTGGCTGTAATGCTAGGGAAGGGCAGCTCGTGAAGGTCGCCGGCCGCGTGGGCCTCTCCATGGCTGCTGCCGGTAAGCTCGCCTGTGTCCCTGCTGGGTCGAGTTGGGCGTGTGCGTGTCGGCGCTGTGCTTTGTTTTGGTCGCTCGTCAGGTGCTTGTAAAAATGCCAAGCATGTCTAACTACGGTGCATCGCACGGCAGATGTGTGCTGAAATGCTTTCTCTTCCAACAGCTCTAATAGTTGTAAATAAAAACTTGCATGTTCAAGTTCATTTAACATGGACTGGGTTTTTACATTTGGATTATGGTGGATTTTGTTGTGCCAGAGGTGCCTACAAAATGTAACTTGCTGGTTTGTTTCAGTGCTTGTCTTTAGGTTGATTGAGGCAGCGCTGGGTCTGGTCGCACTTTTTACACTGCCGGCTTTCTTCAGGGCGGTGATGCTCTACAATGGGAAGAGGGCACTTGCCAAAGAGGACAAGGTTGTGTTATCTGAACGCCAACTGGGGCTTCTCGGGTTAAAGATGACAGGTTCAGAAGCAGGTGGCACCAGTGAGAAAACCAAAAGGCCTCCCAAGGCAAAGCCATCGACTCCGTCAGAGCCAATTGTTCCGATTAGGAGGTCTTCGTTCAGCTATACGCCATCTCGGTCTTTAGGGCAATCAAGGATTGGTTCCAGCAATTTGAGCCCTGGTGGTGAGAGACTGACCACATCAGTGCAAATATCACCTTCCACTCCACTACAAAAGCCTATTTCTTCACCTTCAACCCCATGGTCTAGGAAAAGCTCAGGCAGTGCGAAGGGCATACAGACAGAGGCGATGTTGGAGCAGTTCTTGGCTGGTTTGGACGAAAATATTGACACAATCACAGATTCAGCCAGTAAGATTGCAACACCTCCCGCAACCATTACGAGCTTTGGTGCTGCAAGCCCTGTATCAGTCATTACATCAACCACCCCTTCTGGTGCTGCAAGAAGCACACCTTTGAGGGCTGTGAGGATGTCTCCTGGCTCCCATCAGAAGTACAGCACGCCACCAAAAAAAGGCGAGGGTGAGCTTCCACCTCCAATGTCATTAGAGCAGGCAGTGAATGCCTTTGAAAATTTGGGTGTATACCCTGAGATTGAGCAATGGCGAGATAATCTCAGGCAGTGGTTCTCTTCTGTTTTGATGAACCCACTTGTCCAAAAGATCAAAACTAGCCATATTCAGGTGCTCTGCTTTTGGCAAATTTTGAGCTGAACTTATACCTCTAGTCCAATTTCAGTGGCCAGTTGTCACCATTTTTTAAATTTGTTTTGCCCTACCTTGCAGGTTAAGCAAACAACCGCTACTGTTGGGGCTTCAGTTACTGTTAGCCAGGTTGGAAGTGATCTTCCAAGCACAACAGCGCCGGTTGGCTTATCTCCACTTGGTGGGACTAAAGATTGGCAACCGACTATCACGGTTGATGAAGATGGCATTCTTAATCAATTGCGCACTGCACTTCTGCATTCCCGTGATACGCCTGTTGGTGAGTTTCTGGTGTAACTTAAACATTTTATTGCTGTGGTTTTGCATGTTCACATTCTACCAAAATGTTTTGCACCGAGCACTTTGTACTGTGGTTAAAGATGATACACTAAGATTCCCCCAGATTTAATTTTCAAGTTTGGCTAGCATGGATTTACCTACTTGTTACTTGTTAGCAATGCTTTTTTTTTTCTGTGCAGCACAAACCTTTGGCAGTCCACAACAACCACAACAGAATCCCCTCCTTCCGTCTATTCAAGCATGTATTGATGCAATTACGGAGCACCAGAGGCTTAACACACTGATGAAGGGAGAGCTGATAAAAGGCTTGCTACCACAGAGTAGTGTCCATGCTGATTACACTGTTAAGAGAGTTCAAGGTGAATGTCTTACACTCACCATGTTATTTCATAATGGCATATCATGGAGCCTTTAGCTGAAATGATATACTAGTATTATATTTTCTAGCATATGTTGGAGCGAATTATGACTGAGAATAAATTTTGGCATGATTTGCATACTATTCACATTCTATCATGATACAGAACTTGCTGAAGGAACATGCTTGAAGAATTATGATTATATGGGTCATGGAGATGGTTGCGGTAAATTGGAGAAAAAGTGGATCAGTGAACTGCCAACTGACTCGCTCCTTCTTCTGTACTTGTTTGCTGCTTTCCTCGAACACCCAAAATGGATGCTTCATGTTGATCCTACCTCTTACTCTGGTGCCCAATCTAGCAAAAATCCTTTATTTCTAGGAGTTCTTCCACCAAAAGAGAGGTTTCCAGAGAAGTATGTTGCTTTGATTTCCGGCGTTCCAGCAGTTATTCACCCAGGTGCTCTTATACTGGCTGTGGGCAAGCAGAGTCCTCCGATTTTTGCTCTGTACTGGGACAAAAAGTTGCAGTTTTCTCTTCAGGTGATTTAAATTTTCATTCATTTATTGCTTTATCTAGTTTTATCAGCATCAATATTCTTATTTCTCCTTTTGAGGCAAAGCATCAATATTCTTGTTTTTCCTCCTGACGTTTGTATATAAACCAACTTTCTTTTTAAAAGAAAAATAAGATGCCATCCATAGGCAGTTAAAGGATAAGTCAGAGAGAAACAAACCCAAAAGAAAGGTTGTTTGGTGGCCTGTGTTGTTCATTTTTGTGATAATCTGAAGTAATCATCATAGTATGTCAAAAGAGATTGGGAATAGGCACACTGCAGCAATCATAACCTGTTTTACCTTTCGCCTGTGTTGTTTTGCTACAAACATGTGATTTCTAATAATAAACAAATGATTTGAGTCTGATGACTTTAGCTCAGACTGTCTGGTGGCAGTGCACCTAATTGGAGTATATAGCCTCTCATATTTTTGACAACTTAACACATTCTGCTAGCTAAGCACAAAACATTTGCATAAAGATATAATCCATTATATTATATTAGTTTGACTTGACTTGTAGTGAATTGTTGGTTTGTCGCACACTTGGGTTCATTCTTTGATGGCACTGTTCTTGCAAGAACTTTTTCCAAAAAAAAAAGTCCAGTATTATTAATGTTATTCCCCCCTGCTTGGATTTTCCAGGGAAGAACGGCATTGTGGGATGCTATCTTGCTTCTGTGCCACCAAATAAATGTTGGTTATGGCGGTGTAGTTAGGGGAATCCACATAGGTTCTTCCGCCTTGAACATCCTGTCAGTTCTTGATTCAGACATGGAAAGCTGAAGGACTGCGTGCTGCTTGCCTGATATCACATCAGCAGGAGCTAAAGATGGTTTTGTAGTTTGTACTTTGAGGAGATAAATTATGATCAGCCAGTTGCTGAATGTAAACTAACACCAGCATGCTTCGAACTAACCTACTGTTAGATCTGATTTGTCCTGGTGAAGTGACAGCTGAATTTGTGCCCCAGGTTGTACTAGTATCTTGCTTCTTGAATCGCTCATAGTCCAAGTTCCTTAATTATCACTTAACACAAATGGATTCAGCAATTGGGCCACTGCACAGCCCAACCAGATGGGTATGTTTGCCTGCTTGAATGATCTTAGCCTGGCTCGTATGCTCATCCTGGCCGAGCTGAGCCTAGCCACATGCAACATGGTCTATCTGGTTGGTTGTCTGCAATAAGTAAGCCTGGATCATCCGATACATTGTTTGGTTGCCTGTATCTAAAATTCTTGTATGCAAAAGAATTGAATTTGTTTGGTTGGTTGTGTATTTGTATAGGCTGGGTGTAGTTACCCCTGCGTATATGGTGAATATATAGAAAATAATATCGTGTAAACTATAACAGTATAATTGGTAAACTATTGGGGAAAAAATCAGTGTACAAAAGTTAGCACGTCATACATCGGAAAAATTCATCACCCAATAAAATATAAACGATTGGCATGTATAGTATATTTAATGCATTTTACATTATCACAAGTCAGTTAGAAAAAGAAGAAAGGGAATTTTGAAAAAACAAATAAAAATGACATCCTGCTGCCGTGATGGCGGGTTGCTGGATGGCGAAGCAAGAAGTGGAGGCCCAGATCTGGCCAGAGCCCATTGTGGCCGCCGGTGGCCCGGCCCACCGAAAGGCGCGCCCTGGTCGTCGGAGCGGAGCGTCCGGTTCAAAAAATTTCAAACCCACGCTCCCAACGGCAACTCCCCCACCTCCCCCACTTTCCCCACGGCAACATCCCAATCCCAATCCAATCCATTCGTCTCCCTCCCCCAATTTCCTCCCATTCCAATCGAACGCCTCGTCTCCTCACCTCCTCGTCTTCCTCGATCTCTCGTCGTCGTCGTCGTCGCCATGGATCCCCACCCCACCCCGTTCGCAGGTAAGCAAGCGTCAACTTCCGCACCAAGACCCCCCCAATGGTTACCTCTCTCTCTCTCTCTGTTGACGAGATCGATCCATTCCGCGGGTTGCGCAGGGAAGCGGCGGTCGGTTGCCGCCGCGCCGGCGAAGATAGCGGCGCCCAAGCCCAAGTCCATCGCCTCCACGCGCACGAAGACGACGAGGAAGTCTCCCCCAGCACCTCCACCGCCACGGTAAGGAGATCGCCGGCAATCCATATTGAAAAATCCTCTGTAAGATGTGTAGCGCGACTATGGTTTCGCACTTTCGCTTACTGAGGTAGAATTTTTTTTCCAGGCCACGGCGCGCGTTCGGCACCGTTCGAAGCAGCAACGCGCATGATGCCCCCGAGAAGCCGCCGCCGCTGCAGAAGGCTCCAAAGGTGTCGCCGCCGCCGCCGCAGAAACCTGATAAGGTGTCACCGCCGCCAGCTCAGAAGCCCTCCAAGGTGTCGCCACCGCCACCGCCACCGCAGAAGTCCGCGAAGGTTTCTCCGCCGCCTGCGGCGAAGCCTCCGAAGCTGTCGCCGCCAAATCTGGCCAAGGCGACTAAGCCGTCTCGTCTGGCAGCAAAGCCCCCTAAGAAAGCCGCGCCGGGACCGGAACTGGATCCCAAGCCCAGGAAGAAGGCGCAGCGGGTGAGCTTCCAGGAGGACGCGGCGATGTCGGTGGCCCCTGGAAGCGGAGAGAAGGTGAAGGTTTCCACCGATGACGCGGCTGGTCACACGCCGATGGTGGCCGTGAGAGCCCTGGAGAAGAAAGTGAGTGTCGTCGCGTCCGCGGAGACGCCGTTCTTTAGTGCGCAGAACTGCAGCAATTGCAGTCTCGACCCGCTCGAGGAGTCCACCTACTGGCTCGCACATATCCACCTGGCCGAGTCAGTTGGGAAGCACAGGGTTGCTGCTGCGTTCTTTCAGCTTGCATTCGAGTGCCAAGCTCAGGTGAGAGTTAAATGAACATGGTTTTTAGTTGATAAGTCAATCTAAAATTTAAACTGTAAGTATACGTGCATTTTATGTTCTGGTTATTGTAGATGTATTAGACATTGTTTCTTTTTCTTGGAAGAAATTATGTTTGTGGGTTTTACCTGAATAACCAATTGATAGGAACATAAACACTCGTTGACTGTTCAAGACTTCAGGCACAACCTATTGATAGGAAACATTTCATTTTTATATTATTTTTTTACTTTACTTATTAGCAATAATCTACATAGTTATTGATTTCACCTAAAGAAAAAGTTTACTTTTGTGGACAGCCAATTCACAGGATCCAAAGTGAGCTAAGGAATTATACAGTGCGCCATGAGAGTGCCAGCACTTTAACCACTTTATTCGATGAGCTTCTCCTTGCCCATGGTGGCATCCCAGTGAACCAACCTAAGTTTGAAACCGATGGTTTTGAGGTGGTGGATACACCTTTAACTACAGATAGTGATGACAAGAGGCTCGATAGTACCACAACTCAAGTGGATGAGAGATGCTCGGAATGTGACTGTGGTGGTGATATCGTCGATGTGGCAGTTCCCAGTATTGTGAAACCACTTGAGGAAGGCATGGACCAACCGAGTTTTGAGAGGAAGCTGAACGACGGTTTTGAATTTGATGATTGTGAAGCTGTCATTGTGGACAAGCTGGTGGGAGGACATTCTGATCTAGAGAAGATTGTTGATGTTAATGGTCCTAGCGACAGTGAAACAATGCAGTCAGCATGCAGATCCTCCATTGATAGGTTAAGCTTGAAAGGGTCTCCAGTAGTAAGCGGATTGTCTCAAAGACAGCTCTCTTCAGACAGTCCATTAGATAAGTTGTCTCCGTCTGCACGGAGCTTGTCTGCAAAGCGCTTATCATCTGTTAGCCCGCTTGACAAAAAGTCTCCATTTGGTAGCAGCTCGTCGAAGAGGCTCTCATCCAGTTGCCCTTCTTCTAAGAAATCTTTCTCCAGTAAAGCCTTGTCATCCAAGCGGATGTCATCTGGTAATGCTTCTGCTGGAGTCGGTGATCTTAACGAAGTGATTGCAGATATGGAATTTGACTGCCCTGCATCAGGTAACTCAACATGTCCAAAGCTTTTACTTTGACATTGTCCCTAAGATTACTTATTTTCTGATTGAGAGCACCTTGCAGATGATCAGCTGGAACTGAAAGAACATGGGGATTCTGAGGTGTGTTTAAGGGTTTTATTTACACTCTGGAGTTCTGCAGAAATGATATGATGGATTTAAATATAGCTTAATTTTAACAGTAGTGTGCTCATGTTCCTAGTAAAATAAAATTGTCGCCTTGTCGAAGTAAGAAACTCATTACACTAGTAAGGCACACACATGTATTTGTTAGTTTGCACAATAGTACTAGTATTATCTACCGAGCTTCCAAAACTCTTTGATGCATCTGTTGCTATTACAGCCCTGTACGCTTGAAATAATGTAGTCCCAAACCATTTTCCTGACCACTCTAACAAAGTAGATTACATATGTGATGAAAGATCTATGTTACAAGAACAGTTACTTAAAGATCTTACACGTTCTTTGCAGATCAACTAGCTTCTGGAGAGGGACTTACTACAGCGGTACAACTGCAATGGGTGCTAATATAAATTTAGATGTAAGATTTGCTCGTCTGCGTATGTTCGGTAGTTTGAATTTCTGACTTGATCACATTGCTAGTTTGCCTTTGGTGTGGACTCGAGCAGACATGTGTTTGCTCACGCGTGGTGTTTTATTCTCACCAGTCCAAGAACATGGTTTTCAGCAAAGATCATCGTGCTCGGATGATCTTTGTGTTCTTGACAGTTGACAGGTTCTGTGTGCTTGCTTAGCATGACAAATGAGGGTTATGGTATTCTTGTTTGATTTGGCAATAACTTGTACCTTCGGTATTTGAGGTCAATGTAATATGGATTTCTTTATGATTGCCAGTGAACACTGTGAACTGTTGATGCCCGTGCAAATTTTCTAGTTCCCTCTGTCCGAAAAAAAATATCAAATCCTTGTAGATTCATCTGTATGATTTGAGTTTTTATGGGATAGAGAGAGTACCTTTTGAGCACAGTCAAAACATTATGGCAAAATTTGTCATAGGCCATTGAAAGATTATGGCCTTTGCTTGTGGATACCGCTAATGAGACATTGTCATTGGATATTCCAATTCTGTTAACATTTGCTTTTGGACACTATGGGAATTACTTTCTTCAGGTTGATAATACTTGTTTTCGACAAAGATATGGTCTCCAAAAAGTAACTTTGACAACTAGTTTCTATTATAATATATATAGAAACATCAACAAATATATGATTTTATTTGAGGTATTTTTTAAGACTAATTTATACATATGGTTTTATATTTGTAAATAAACATTTTAGATTTTATTTATAGTCAAAGATTTTAAATTTTGACCAATATTATTAGCTCAAAGGGAGTATGTATAAAGTGGAATGTCCATAGCCCCATCTTCATCTTTCCCTTTTTCTCCTACCAGGCCATTGCATTGCACCTCTCCACCATCCTTGTTCTCCCTCCACACTTCCTTGGCCTTACAACACTTCACCCTTTGGTAGGAGCTACTTTGTTGAACAATGAAGCACTCCATTGTTCGCCACCATAGTGAGTAGAATGACGTTGGCTGCTCTTTTCATTGTAGCATCACCACATTGTTACCGAATGGTACCTCCTCAAACCCAGCCACAACCATGTACTCTCTCCACCCTTTCTACCCCTCACCAATAACTTATGTCGTGAGATTCGTGCCAACCTTGGGCTCTAGCAGCCACCTCTCTCGTACGCCCTTTCCTTGAATGTCACATATGTTGACTCCAAGAACCGCAACAACACCTCAAACCTTATCATGAACTCATCCGCTGCCATCGTCATCCGGTTCAAGCTCCGAGAGAAGAACCAACTTAGGGTTGGGGCCTCCGATCTCTTCACTCCTTGATATATAGCGGACTGGCCAAACTAGGGCATTTCTCCCTGTCATCATTCCTTGAGTCCATCTAGAGTGTAGAATCATACCGCAGCATCCCTACCGTCCACAAGCTTGCTCATCCTTGCGTCCGTAGTTTCAAGTGCAATGGAGGAATGAGAGAGATGGAGAGAGGAAATACAAAAGAGAGATGGAAGATGACATGGGTGGCGCTAGTTTGTAAAAAGGTAGCAGGAAGTTATTTATTTAAATTTCTCTCTCCTACTCGATTGAAAATAATACTTTAATAATAGTCTTGCCAAAAGTTAACTTTTCAACGTCGTGCATGTACTTCTTCCATCTTAAAAAAATAATTTTATTTTTATTTACATTAAAGTTTGAGAAAGTGAGAGATAAATATATCAAAGCTTAAAAATATGAGGGGCTAATGTCCTGGAGTTTGAAAAAAATAAAAAGCATTATAGTCTTTTGATTTTATACTAGTACGCGTGAGACATGGAAAATTAGTCTTTTTGACTGAGGTAGTAGCAACCTTTTTTTTATCAAACACAATACGGAGTACAATCTAATCGTAATTCTGTCTACTGCCATCCGTGCACGAAGCGATTAAACATAAAATCATTAGTCCTCCAGTGGATGCAAAATTTCAAACGGTAAGCGAGAAAAGTAATTTGTTTGCGGTTAACCCGAAGAGTTTATCTAAGCTGCTGTTCCAGTTACAGTCTACAGAACCAGACCAGATCAGCGATGATACCGTATAGTAATTGGTAAATGTGTCAGCAAAGCAGCTTTCTGGTTCGCAAAAGTCCGTGGCAATGACAAAAACTGGCAGAAAAGTTGTGGCCCTTTGCAATTAGTGGAAATCAAACCACACCAACCATCGCATCAGAAAGAAAACAAAGCATACGAGACAAAAAAGCCGAACAGATCCGCAAAGCTAATCAACGTTTTCAAGATCCCCATTCCTACGCTGGGGCAGCCGAGAGAACGTCAGGAGCTCCGAGAGTGACCGAGACCCGACTCCATCGTCTCATTCACTCACTTCCCTGGTCTAGTCACCACCGTTGTCGTTTCCTTTCCTTTCCAGAATTCCAGTAGTACCGCGCAGCGCGCAGCGTGCGTTTCCCTTCCCGTGGACGAGGTCGGCGCGTTTCACGGTGCACGCCACGGCGTGTGCACGCACGCGCCATTCCGTCGTGCCGCGCGCGGCCCACCGTTCTTCGCTGCGTGTGTAGCAGTGCAGCACACGGGCCAACCGCGAGTTGGTAGTTGGTGCCAGCCAGCGAGCTAGGCAGCGACATGGCATCGGTTCGTACGTACGTAGTACGTGCGGCTGGAGCCCGCGCGCGGCAGAGCGCGTCACGTGTTACACAACGAACTAACGGTGCGTGGCCCGGTGGAGCCGGGAAGCGGTCGCCGTCGGTGAACAGGACAGTGTGCACTAGTGGTGGTGGTGGTGACCGGATCTTGCATGGGCGTGCATGACCAGGTAGCATATGATAGTGACCAACTGGCCACGCCACACACGCACGCTGGCCCGCCTCGGCCGGCCGGTCGATATTTCTGCGGCCAGGCACACAGGGAACGCAGAATCTTTTTATTACGTTTCATGTGTGTCGCATCTCCGCTACCGAACAATCGCCTTTTGACTAGCAGGGGCCATGACGCCCGACGTTTTCCATCGCAGTTTTTTTTTCAGTTTTTTTTTCCTGGTGCAGTTCTTGCTAGTGGCACAAGTTGGCAGGTTAATATCAAAGAATCAAGACCAAAGGTTTTATTAGTATTGGTGTTACCGTCGGGTTTTGTTTAGTTTAAACGAGACAGAAATGCGACGTTGAGTTTTTAAAAATATCTCGAGTTCCTTTTTTTTTCTCTCCTGAAGGAGTAGAACAACCGGTACAAGTGGCGACTTTTATTTTAGTGTTATAAACAATGCGCCCAGCGCATCTGAGCTTTTCAAGCAGCAGTCGACCATTTCCATCGTACAGTGAAGTGATTGACCGGATTATTACTGAGGGGAATATGCTCGGCCGGCCTGTTGGCCAAAGCCCGGCGAGCAAGGGCCACGCTTGAGCCTCTTTGCCCATCCGGTGGGTGCACCATGTGCCACACTGCATAGCACGGTAGCGCTAGCACTAGCACTAGCAGCCGTAGCCGCAAGCCGACGCGATGATGCATCCTACTACAGCCGTAGCCGCAGCAGCAGCCGCGCCCCGCGCAAAGCGTGCAAGCCAGCATCACACAAACACAAATCTGGGAAGCCGTGTAGCGCGCGTCATCACGTCGTCCCGTCGTCCTGCTCCGCGCCGCGCCGCATCAGCGCTGTGTCAGTCATCCCACCCACTCACCCACCCACCCACCCTGATCGCAACGCCACGCGCGCGAGCGAGCACTAGCGATCGATCAGGCCGTGCGCGAGGGCAACAAGGCGACGGAAACCGAAAGCAAATCCACGCCACCGGCGAGCCCGTCCATCCAAAGCGATGCACACCGAGAGGGAACAAAACAGAAAGTGTGAGAGAGAGAGAGGAAAAAAAATAATAAAAGAGCGGAGAGACAGAAGCCTACGAACGGGCAAAGCGGCCGCCACGTAGACGTGTACATCTTCTCCGGTAACACCGCCCAAAACTCCCCCCCTTCATCACTTTTTTAATAATCCGCGACGACGCCGAGCGATTATTAGTATTAAAGTGAAGTGTGAGCTCCAAGTCCGAACCCCCCAAAACCTCCCGTCTCTTCCCGTCCCCGCTCCAGTGGGCGGGCTCTCTCCCTCTTCCTCCTCCGCTCCGCTCCACCTCGGTTGACCACCACCCGATCGGCGGCGAGGGCGGGGAGCTCCGGCGTGCTCAGGTAATCCATCCATCCATCCATCCACGCTGCTGCTCGGCTCTTGTAGGTTTTTGATTCCCCTCGTTTGGGTACGCTCTTGCTGTGGTTCCTGCTGTTTGTTGTGTAGTCGCCTCTCTGGCTGATACGCTGGGTTTGGGGGATTCGGTCGGGAGCTGAGGGTGGTTTTGAGCTCAGATTTGGGACGGGTGGCGCGGTCGGCTCGTTTTGGGAGGAGGGCGCCCCGGGGGTGATTTCATGGGCTTGGTCGAGGTGGGGGATGGGGAATTGAGTGGTGTTTTGTGCTGATTGGGCGTGTGGCGGTGTGGGGATTTGGTAGAGGCGACGCCTAAACACTAGGGGAGTTGTCGGCTCCCCTTTCTCATGTTTCTCTTAGATCTACGAATAGAGTTTCTCTTCTCCATAGGAGTTGTGATTGGTCGCTCAATCGTTATTTTTTTTGGTTTGTCAGTTGGTCGATCCCACTTTCCTCAAGTTTGATTTCTCGTTAGGAAGATCTTTCCGCTCGAGAGATTCTGATTCCTTTTCGATTCCATCCCGTCCTTGTATGGACGGGCCGCAGTATCGGATTAGCAAATCCATGTGAATAACATAAGCTAGATTAACTTGTATGGTATTTCCGTATTTATATCCCGATCCTACCATTCACCGAAAGATTTTTTTTAAAAAAAAACTTGTGTGGTAAAAATATTTGCCTGTGTTGTGCTAATTATGCGTTAGTTTGATGAATGAATTTTTACCTTGTATCTTCATGCTTACTACATGTGTGCAGTCATGGTATCGAGGGAACCTTTTTAAGGCTAACACACTAGGATTTCATGATTTGTCTATCTCTTTCCACCACCAAGGCACCAAGCTGATATCCTGGTTGCAGCAGCACCATGGGTGGAGAAGATGAGGTTCACGGAGTGTAAAGGTCATCTAGTGATGGGGGTTCTGATGGCAGGGGGATGACTTGGGGCATTTTGGGGGTGAAGGAAGGCTAGGCACAAACCCTCTTGACAGGACAGCGGTGGGTTATAGATCATGTTTAGGTTTGTTCTGGTAGGATTCGATGGTGCCAATGCAGGATGGTATTTATCGCACCTGGACAATAAGGTTTTGGCAAACCTTTATAGTTAGATTTTTGGTTCTAGAAAGGGAATAAGTTAAACGTTCTGAGGAGCATTGATGATTCGGAC